TGGGCTCAATCAGGCCAGCTTCAGGGTTGACATAGGCTTCTGAAGCCTGCAAACCCAGGAGACTATTATTACTACTACTACTACTACTACTACTACTACTACTACTAATAATAATAATAATAATAATAATAATAATAATAATATACCGTATTTGCCGGCGTATAAGACGACCCGGCGTATAAGACGACCCCCCACCACCACCAGAAACGTCCTCCAAAAATCCCCGGGGCTGCAGCGGCAGGGCGGAGTGCCAGGGGCCGTGGGAAGAGCAGGAAGGCTGCAGCCTCGGGCGGAGCGAGGCGAGCGGGATGAAGCGGAAGCGACGCAGGGGATCCAGGAAGCCAGAGGCGCCTTCGCTGCGTCCAACAAGCATCCGAAAGCCGGCAGTGGATATACCGGCGTATAAGACGACCCCCCCACTTGGAGGCATGTTTTTCGGGGCAAAAAAGTCGTCTTATACGCCGGCAAATACGGTACAATAAATCCATTTCAACCGTGTGTTGATTAGGTACATATTTTGTGTGCTTACAGTTTATGATTAATACTTTCCTTATCAATAAAACAATATAATCACATTTTCAAATAAGTAATATCCAATATATCTATTTTTAACTATCTTCTCTTATTGCTTTATATATTCATCTAATCCATTTTTAATTTGTTTTGTTTTCTAACCATTGGTAAAATAAATCCCATACCATGTAATATTCAGATTCTTCTTTTCCTTTAATTTCCAGTTTTAATCTATTCATTTCTGCACATTCAAATATTTTCTCAATTCCTTTTCCCTCCTATCGGTATCTTATCACTTTTCCAGTTCTAAGCAAACACAATTCTAGCTGCTGTTAATACATGTATGATTAAATATGCTTTCTTCTTTATTGTAACCTTCAGGTACCATTCCTAATAAAAAAATATTTCAGGTTTCCGATCTATATGGTGTTTAATATTTTTTTCCAACCACGAAGGAGATGCTTCTTGTGAGTAACGCCTTTCTCTCTCGATTCAGGTCCAAGGCATTCCTTTGCCCCCACCTCCAATGGGCATGCCCCCGATGCAGCCTCCCCCTCCCCCTCCTCCTGGCATGGGCCTCAACTTCCCCATGGGCGTGGGGCCTCCTCCACCGCCCCCCACTCTGGGCCCGCCTCTTCGCATGCAGATGGATCCTTCCTCGTTGCCTGAGGAAGAGCGACTGAAGCTGGCTCAGCAACAGGCCGCCATGTTGATCCAACAGGAGGAGAGAGGCAAGCAGGTAACAACACACCTTGCTTTGGAGATGCACAGGTATGTGGGGGAGGGGGCGTGTGTGTGTGTGGGTAGCAGCCCACCAGCAGCCTTCCTTAATTTGGCATCCTTCCACTCTGCCTCTTATAATCTCTCAGGCCCCAAACCCCAAAAATGACACACAATGATTTTTCCAAGCTGAGTTTACTATGGTTTCCACACCTGTAGAGAGCATCTTGCCTCTGCATGTATGTGAATTAATAGGGAGAAGCTGTTCATAATTACAATCATTCAACATAGAGGGAAAACGGAATATTATTTGGTCTGGGACACATGGTATAAATGGTTAGAAGATAGAAGTAAAGATTAAATGTAAAGGTAATGTAAGCGGTATATTAAACTTAATGGCAATGTATATAGTTAAAGGAAGAAAAAGGAACGTAATTGATATGTATATATGAGTATTATTGGTGCTGGAACGCGGCAAAGACTGTAAAAATGATATAAAATGATGAAATATGTTTAATAAAAATATTAAAAAATAAACATAGGATACAACAACAAGTGATAAATCATAGATACCAATAGGAGAAAGGAGTAGGAAAGATGAGAAGATAAGGAAGATGAGAAGGATAATGAGCCACGTTGGCACAGTGGTTAGAGTGCAGTACTGCAGGCTACTTCTGCTGGCTGCTAGCTGCCTGCAATTTGGCAGTTCGAATCCCATCAGGCTCAAGGTTGACTCAGCCTTCCATCCTTCCGAGGCCAGTAAAATGAGGACCCAGATTGTTGGGGGCAAGAGGCTGACCCTATAAACCACTTAGGCCTGTAAAATCACTGTGAAGCAATATATAAATCTTAAGTGCTGTTGCTATTCTCTCAAGCACAAAAAAATTCAATGTACTCAACTAATGGATAACTTATTTGGGCTCTAGATAAGAGTCAACGGAATTCAAGAGAGGTTGGACGTAGGGATGCTAGGCCGATTCCTCTTTCGACTCCGCCACCCACTCCTCTTACAATCTGGAATGTACCCCTTCCCACCTGGGAGCCCAGCCTACTACATTCTATCCCATAATCCCCAGCTTGTCTCAGTGTTGATATCCTGGAGGAGCAGGAAGAAGACGGGGAAGTCCTTTGCTCCTTGGTGCTCTCTGAGCTTGGTTGGGTTTTTTTGTTTTTTTTTTGGCAGACCTAGTTTGGTAACGAAATGTCCGCAAAGAAAACCACCAAGCTCAGAGAATGCCAAGTGGGAAATCCATACAGGTAGTCCTTGACTTACAACAGTTCCTTCAGTGACCATTCGAAGTTCCAACGGGACTGGAAAAAAAAGGACTTACAGCCGTTTTTCACACTTACCACCATTGCAGCATCCCCATGGACACCTGATTTACATTCAGATGCTCGACCATGGGCTCACATTTAATGATGGACACAGCATCCCGGGATGACATAATCATGTTTTGAGACCTGACAAGCCAAGTCCACGGGGAAGCCAGATTAACAATGCACTGTTGTTAATAACCAATACTGCTGTCAGGACTCCAACAAATCCACCCTCATTCAAATCATAAGTCTCTAGCCGCATCTCTCAAGAGAAAATAAAATTGATTTATTAGAAGTGGCCATGTTGGTGTTAGCTGGATGCAGCCGATCCTAAAATACATCATTTCCCCCTTGACCCTGAACTTCCCCACCACTCCCTGGATGTATATTCGCCAATGGGACACATCCCTAGCCAAGAGTCATCAATCATGCTCTCCAGTAATGTTCTTGCACTCCAACAACTTTGGGCTGCCAGGGTGATTATCTAGGCACTTAAGGAATGCACTGTTCCCCCCCCTCCCTTTTTCTGGCAGCTAAAAAGACTAAAGGAGTATCTTTTTAGCTGACAACTGCGGTGTTTCGCTTCACAAAGATGGCAAGAAAAGCCGTAAAACGGGGCAAAAGCTCCTGTCACCAATTTCTCACTCGACAACACAAATTCCGGGCTCGACTGCGGTCGCACGTCGAGGGCTGTCTGTAATGTTATTTAGAGAAAGGAGCGCTACGCAGTGGTGAAACAGCCTCCATTTGCTTTCCCATCATTCGCAGGTGGAGGGCCAAAAGTTTGATAGTAAAGTTTGTAGGGTTGGGTCCGTGTTGACTCTCTTCTCCCTCCCCCCCTTGCCTCCCCTACCACAGGCAGTGGTACTAATGGAGCAGGTGCGCCATCAAGAGATGTCAAAGCTAGCCCCTTCAGTACCTCGGACAGTTCCAGATCTGCTATCAAGACCTCAAAGCCACCCCAGAAGTAAGTGCTTTTGGGCCAGGACAGGAGGTTGGGTTTTTTTGCATTTAAAAAAAAAACAGTTTCTGGTGTATATTTTTATTTATTTAAACCCATGTTTATTATTGTCACAAACAACTTTAGACAGCACACACACGATCCTCCTTCTGTTTTTCCTAGAGCAAAAAACTCAGTGCAACCAGCCCCCCTCCCCCAGTGTGTAGGGCTACAATCCCCAGTGTCCCCA